GATAAGAGCCAACCTGCACTGGCAAAGCGCGGCCGCTGTTGCCGTTTTTGCTTAGAATTTGCACGATTTCTCGCAGCCAGACCGTGCGATTGACGCAAATGTAGCGTCCGCGAGCGTCCATGTGTTCCAGTGCCAGCACGTGGGCTGCGGCACAATCGCGCACGTCGGTCATGGCGAAATCTAAGCAGCTCGTGAGCAAATCCTTGAGGTCACGCCCGCTGCGGGCACTGGCATACTCAAGTCGACCAGTGCCGAGTAGTGGCCGACAATGAGGTCGTAAATGACTTGTGTGCCAGGGGAAATCTTGGAGTTGCACAGCGATGGGCCGATCAGCATGCCCGGCTACAACAAGCACCGAAGTGAACCTTGCCCGCAAAATGAGGCCGACGTACGTTGATTGTGACGAGCTCCATGGATTCGTTCTTGACGAGCTGCCACGCAGCCTCCTCGGCCAATTTTAGGCTCAGAAAGTGCGGATTTCTGTCCAGGGACGATGTGACGTTCCAGCTGAGGTCGGTGATCGTCGACTGCGCAGTCACACTGTCGGCCATGGCCGCGATCGACGACGTCAAAACGACCTGTCATAGCCATGAAGTGGCTCCTGAGCGACTCAATCGACGCACGTACGCGCTTCACTTTGGCTCGAACGCACGCTGTGATAAAGTTGTTCATCATAGGAACTATGCAGTGCACGCGGCTGCTGATACTGTACACGCCCGGCTCCTATCGATGAAAAGGTGATGAGTGGATGGACGACGAGGACGGTACCTGGTTCTCAGAGTACGGATCCCGAACCGAACAAGACGTCGGCGTTCCTGTATGAATCACAAAGTCGCACCCGTCCACGGCCAGGTCGCATGACTGGGCTGTGAGCAACGATGTCTCGACGATCGTCAAGTGCTTCTTAGCCGACGGGAGCTCGTACAGTTTCGAGATGTCGTCATTCTTGTTCTGGACGGTACCTCGAACTTTATATCCTTTTACAAGCAGCTTTTCGACGATCCATGCCGCCAGAAACCCATCGACACCAGTGACACACACGGGTTTGTGCAAGCACCCTGTCGTCGTTTTGCGGAGGTACTTCAGGCCCTTCCACACAGTGGGGTACATGCACGACAGGTCAGCGTTCGAAGGGTTCACGTGCGTTCGGGACACCTTCTTCTTGGATTTCTCACGCTTGATTGTTGTGGATGTTGCGACCGAGTAGTCGGCGGTCTTCTTGACTGCTTTCGGACGTTTCTTCTTCTTCTTGTCTGTTCCGCCGTCATCTATCGACATGGACGAGTTCAAGACAGCCTTTTTTGTCTGCGAGGTCGCCGCCGCGGTGTCGTCGACGACTTGCGGTCCGAACAGCATGGGGAATGACGACGTCGCGCCTTCTGTCGCTCCGTCAAATGCGCTGTCAAAATGAACGTATCATCCGGATAAGCGAGTCCGTCGACATATTTTAAAAACAAACGGCCCAAACAATGGTCAGATGCATGAAGAGACAAAAAAATACGTTCTGCTCCGGATAAAGCGGTTGCAAAAATAGTAGTGGATCTTCTCGGATTTAGCTAAATAAATACCTAGAGATTTGTATAGGCAGTCGCACCGTTTCGACGAAAACTTAAAAAAATCTGCATACTTTGACCAATACAATGAAAAGGCGGCACCCAGTTCAACTTCGTGCACAGCGCACTTCGACGGCATGTTGTTCGGTCCGCAGCAGACCGCCACCGCGGAGGTGCCGCAAAGCATGGGCTACCGAGGTGAAACAAAGAAGCGCGATTCGTTGGTCGATGGAAATGCCGCTGGCGGGCGGAAGCGCCGGTCCAAGAACAACTTGACGACGCCAACAACAGGCGTGCCGTTCGAAAGCACGTGCAGTACCGTGAAGCTGACAGCTCGTGCGAAAGACGCATCGCAGCAACGTCGCACGCCAGGCAATCGTGTTGCTATCGTGGAGGAGTCCACGATGTACCACAGCGTGTGGAATGCACTCCAATTTAAAGTTGTCGAGTCGAGTTCGGCCAGTTCGGTAACTTCAACGGCCGCATCCGCAACGCACCCGTTCCTGCGAGCTGCGCACATGAAAATGCCAATTTGCGTGACGGGGATAGACAGCTTTCTTGGCTCGTGGATCGTAACGGAGCTGCTGCAGCGCGGCTACAAAGTACGAGGCACGGTACAGAGCCGCAAAGACGACGACATCAGTCGGCTCCTCGAATTGCCGCACGCGTCGACGCAGTTGATGGTCGTGGAAACGTCCCTTTTGACTCCAGAGTCGTGCGACCTTGCCGTCGAGGGATGCGAGTACGTGATCCACACGGGGACGCCGTCGTCATGTGCGGTGCGGGACCCGGTGTCGGAGGTCAAGGTTCGCGACCATCGCACATATCATGAGAACTCATCCACCATGCAGGAGCCAGGTGTGCACTCGGTGAGCAGCCGCATGCACTGCATCGTGCCAGCCATGACCAACTTCATCAAGGCGTGCGTCCGTGCTCGAATCAAGAAGGTTCGTGGCAAGCTGCAGTTCGCGATCTCATATCCCTCGGTCAGATAGTCCTGTCGTCGTCGGTGGCAGCGTTGAGCGACCACGTGGACGCGAGCGACGTGATCAACGACCTTTGCTGGAACATGGTGTCGTCGATGGAGCGGAACCCGCACTTCCTCGGGCTCAAAGTCGCAGAGGAAAAGGCGTGGCAGCTCGTCGAGCAGGAGCCCAAGCTCGAGATGGTCACGATTTGCGTACGTTTTCTATTTTCTACGTGCTGAAGGAGGTCACGTTGTCGTCGTCTTTAGCCAGGGACGTTGATGGGACCATCCGTGTGTACGCCGAAATCCATCCCGCCCGGCAACCAAGTCGTGTACGACCTCATTACTGGCCAGTACAGCGCGATCGTCGACTTGAGTACGCGGTTCTGTGTACCCATTCATTTGTATGGTTCACGCCATGTCTAGACTGGGCTTTGACGGACGTCCGTGACTGCGCGTTGGCGCACGTGTTGGCATTAGAGCACCCTGATGCCCGCGGCCGCTACATTTGCGTGAACCGGACTGTCTGGTTGAGGGAAATTGTAGACATTCTGCGCGCCAACGGGTACTCTGGACGCGCCCTGCCGTTCCAAGTGGGCCTCCCGAATTGGGTCGCGCGCCTCTCATCGTTCTCGGCGCAACTTGGGCAAGTGGGCGTGTCGTTGTATGGGGACTCTGCCGACGCTACGAAACCTTCGCCGTATCTGAGCGACCGTCTTGTGGATGTGCTACGACTGTCGTTTCGGGATGTGAAGAGCACGATCGTCGAGTGCGCCGGCGATTTGCTCAAGTGGAAGTTTATCAAGCCTTGGGGTGAAGACCGCGAAGCGATTTTATGTGCATGCTGCGACGCGCCATTCAACTTTTTGCGCCGCCGCCACCACTGCCGGGTATTCATGTCAGGTCGCAAGCGCTGATGGATTTGGTGGCGTAGGAATGTGGCGTTGTGGTGTGTGGCGACTGCTCTCAGTCGAGGGCAGTCGTCGAAGGATTGGACCATCCGGCGCGGTTGTGCGACGCGTGCGTTCAGAGCTCGATCCCAGCTCTCCTGGAGCTTATGCACGCGCCGTTGTCGTGCCACAAAGCCGTGAAAGCGCTCGAGTCGTTGATGGTCAACCCGGCAAACCACGAGTTGATTACGCGGTGCAGTGGGGTCCCGATTCTACTCAAAGCGCTGCACGAAGAAGACGACGACATTTCGTTCCATGCGGCTGGAACGCTCTTGGCGCTGAGCGAGGACACGGCGAGCGCGCTGCAAATGGTGCTGGAAGGCGCCGTCCTGCACATGCTCGAGGTGGACCAGACGACGGAAACGTGGCGTGTGTGTTTGGCGGCGCTGCGAAACATTTGGAAGCAACTCAATCACGACGACTTTCGACAGATGCTCCATTCCGTATCGCGAGTGTCGCGGACGGCGGCAGACGGTGCGATCCGTCGGCCATGGTCGCTTGTTTGACGTGTGTGTGTGGTGGTGGTGTTGCGTAGGGCCGTTAAAGTCCAACATCTTGATCACGTTTGTCCACATGATGGAGCCGCGCAACGTGTGCTCACTGCTCAAGGAAGGTCTCCTGGATGTGCTCTTTGTCATGCTGAAGAGCGCGAATGCGTTCGATCGCTGTGCAGCAGCACACGCTGTCGTGCGGGTGATTCCGGTCGACTACGACCCCGACACGGAGATTGACGTGCCGCCATATCACGTCGACGATCACGAAGAGCTCCTGACGCTGTCGACGCTGTCGGACATTCAGTTTCTCGTGAAGGGGCACATTGCCCCGATCAATGCGCACAAGATTGTGCTGTTTGTGCGCAATGCGTATTTCAAAAACATGGTGCGGCAGCTGTGTCTCGACCACCGTTGACGTCGTCGTGGCTAGTTTGGATCGTCCAACGCGGCGAACCCAACCAAGCGCGTGATTGAGATTGACAATTGCACGTACAGTGTGTTTTCGATGATTTTGCGCTTTCTCGTACGGCCCGATGTCGAGTTCGTCGAGCTCACGTCGTCCCGTTGGTCTAGTACACGGGAAAACTCACGATTGACGACGTGTCGGCGCAGGACTTGCTCCGTGCAGCGGCATTTTACCAGGTCGTGGAGCTCCGCGTCCGCATTGAAAAGTTTCTCGCCGACCGTATTGCCGTTGCCAATGTCGTGGAGCTGCTCAGTCTTGCAAACGAGTGCAACGCGGAAGGTCTTCGCCGCGCGTGCATCCCGTTCCTCATGCAGAATATCCATGCGGTCGTCAAATTGGACTCGTTTGCCGCCCATCGCGAGTGGGCCGGCCAAGAGATCCTGTTGGCCCTAACGCTCGAGCTCGGCGACGACTGGTACGCTGCGTACCAAGCCATGGTCGCCCACCCGCGCCACCAGCCGGCGTATTCTGGCGGCCACAACGTGGTGCATCCCCCCACTTCACATCATCTCCACCACGCCCCGCCGTCAATTTCGAGCCACCCTCCGGCGTCCGCGACCATGTTGTCGCCACTTCAACTCAAGCGACCGACTGTCGTGTCGCCCCTGCCGTCGAAACGCCTTATCTTGACGTCGTCGCCGATGGAGAAAGGCGGGTCGCAGCGAAGTCGATTGTTGTCGGAGGAGAGTCTGGCCGAAGGCATTTGCTAACCACGCCGTGGTCGGGACGTTCGTGGAGATTTATATATCTAAATGCATGACGCAGTTTGATCGATCGGTCTCGAGCTACACGCTCGCGTTTGCCTCGACGAGTTATGCCCCACTTTTGAGGTCAAGTTGGACAGCATCTACGAATACCGGTTCTGCAGGTCCGTAAAGAACGACGACGTCATGCTCTTCAACTAGACAGCGACCCGATCGATGAAGGTATCCATGAATTTGGTTGGATTACCTGTTGCGCCTTGTCAGTCACTTGGGCCTTGAGCAACTCGAGTTGATACGCCGCTTGTTCGCTCGCTACCATCCATCAGCGGTCCATGGAGGAAGGAAGGACCGGTGGACACGAACCTTCCGTGGATGCCGAACGCGCGCGGCCATCGCCGTAGTACATGTCGCTCGAGATGGACTGTGACCCGGAAAACTGGCGGATCTTGTCGGGGTCGACCGACGATTGCTCGGCCGCAAAAAAGTTGTCCGATGAAATGCTCTTGGAATTTTTGTACTTGTTCAGCGAGTCCGCAGCGGGCGCCGAGGGAGTTTGGAACGGTGCCGCCTTGATAGTAGCGTGCTGGCTGAACGACCGACCAAGCGCCTCTCTAACCATTCAATCCATTCATGAAAAAGGTCCTGGCATGAAATCGCATACTCCTCAGCTTGCTGCATGGCACGCGCGAGCGCTTCGTCGTCGTCGATTTGCTTGGAATGCGACGTATCCGTGGCGGCGCCTGGTGTCGGCTTGGCGTTCTATAGCAGTAGGAGAGTGCCACATTGACGACCGGGCTCATCGTGGAGACGCCACAGGTGCAACGTACTTCAAACGGAATATTGTCGAAATCGTCAAAGTTCGACTTGACTTTGGTTGCCCCTAGTCGCGTGGCTTTCTTGGCGCCGCCGGTCGCCCCTGCTTTCTGCAGCAGGGATGTGAATCGTCCAAGGTCATGTTGAGTGATACGTACGCGGCTGGACAGCTTGGACGTGATCGTGGAGCCTCCTGCGCCGGAGGGACCTGATGAGTCACTGCCAAGCGTGACGGTTGGGCGTGTTTGCAGCAATCCAGTAGTGGGGGCAGGAGGTGGCATCGTCGCAGCAGTTGCAGACACGTCGGGAACAGGAGAAGGAGCCGCGACTGTGCGCGCTGTGTACGCATTAGCGATCGGTGGCACTTCCGCCGTTCCTACGAGCTTGGCCAAGTCGTCCAAGCCAAATTCGTCCGTAGGTTTTGCCTGTAGGACGTGCATGAGTTGCTCGGTGAGGAGGATGTACCTTGGTCGAAGTGGTAGCGGTGAACGGAGACGAGTCGAATTTGGCAGCTTGCACCTTCCTCGTCAATTGGGCTTTGTACAACGTGGCGGCTTTCGACTTGTACTTCTCGTCGATCTACGGAGATGGTGAGAGTTGTGATGGAGTTGGATAGCACAGCAGTTACGTTCATCATGTCAGACACGCCGTGCTGCTTGAAGAACTTGCGAGCTTCGCTGTTGCCCCCCAGCTGCATGAGCAATAATTGCTCTTCCGTCCACTCGTCCATATCCGTGGACCGGACGAACGACACGTGTACCCCCATGCGACGATGATACCCAGAGCAATCCAAGCACATGAACGTTCCAAACGAGACAGTCGCCCACATTGGGCTTCGTCGCTCGCAGTCAAAGCACATCTTGTTCGCAGCAATGCTGCGTTGCGCATGGAAGAAGTTGTCTCGAATCTCGTGGGACACGTAGGTTGCCGCCGCCATCGTGTTGTTGTCGCTTTCTTTTGCTTTGTGTAGGATGTCCACCGAAGGTACCATTGGCTTAAATCTTTCACTCAAAATTCAATATTGACCAATCCAAATATTGATAGGATGCCAATATTATCCAATAAAAAAGATTGGATCTACAGATGTTCTTCGTTGCACAGGAAAAACGGCAACAAGGTGCATGTCACCATCTGCCCCCGATACATTGAATGCATGGTGTGGAATTGCTGAAGCTTACTCCCTAGCCCAACCACGCTTGGTTTCATTTGAGCATTTACGAGATTCTCGCGTCAAATCGTCCAGCTCCCGCGCGTTTGCCGAATTGAACATCTGAATAAAATTGGCCCGTGGTTGCGTGGAATGAAAAATATTTTTATTGACAGTGAATCCTGTTGTGCCTCTATGTTTATCCGGAAAACATGTCGAAACTTCGAGATATCCGGATACTGGTGATTCCCACGGACATTCCACGTGTCCGGTATTGAGTTAGAATCGAATATTTCGCAAGGCGTTATGAAGGTCCTGTACATCGCTGCCGTTGCACTGTTGGGGTTGAGCGCCGTGGAAGTGTCGGCGAAGGACGACAAGGAGTGCGAAGTATGCGTCAAGGTCATCGATACGCTGAAGTCGCAGTACAGCGACCTTCTCAAGGAATCCAAGGGTAAGCCAAAGATTGACGTGGCCGAAGCTGCGCTTGAAAAGATGTGCAACAAGTTCAAGTCGAACCCGAAGGAAAAGAAGCTCGTGAGTGTTTTTTTGCCAGTTCCATGAGGTTGTTGGATTGAAATTTGGGTGTGTCTAGTGCTACTTCTTGGAGCCCATGAAGAAGGACACAGCTCGCCAAGTCACCATTGGCAAGGACACGATCAAGATTTGCCAAAGCTTGACAAAGAAGAACCCTGAGTTTTGCTCGATTCGATTCCCCATCAAGACGGAAGCTGGCACGGACTACTCCAAGTTGCGCGTCAAGGAACTCAAGAAAATCCTGAGCGAACGCGGTGTCTCTTGCCACGGGTGTGTCGAAAAGGACGACTTTGTAAAGAAGCTGCAAGAAACGGAGCACATGGAGTTGTAGTTCACACTTCCATGATGATCCTATCTTATTTTGGCTGCGTTGGTTCGCCATCATTGCCACGTACGTCGCTGGGGGAACGGCCAGAGTAAATTTGGCTAACGAAATTTCCTGTAATTCGCCCAGTAAATAACTCCAAAATTTCTCATTGGCGGTCGCCGCTTTATTTCAATAGACTCAGCCAATTAAATTTTGAGATTGGAGTGGCAGCAAGTGCTACAATGTAGTATTCCTTATGCCTGGTGGAACATTTTGTCGTGCATCTTGTCCGCCGCAGACTTGATCGTCGGCGACGCGATTTCGACGTGGACGTCGCTGTCGGTAGTTTGCACGTCGAGCGTAGCCGTAGTTGGCCCCGCGGTCGATGGTGGGGATGCCACCCTACGGCGTTTTGCGGCTGACATCAGCAACACGATGCCAAAGCAAACGACATGGCCGAGGCCAATGCCAAACCATATAACCGGTGCAATCGACTTGTCCATGCTCATGAGGTTGTACGGCCAGAAACCTTCGTTGAATGTGACGTTGCCGATCCAGGCAAGGCTCGAAAACAACGCTGGCCACAGGATCACGAACTTGAGGCTAGACCGCTGGATGAGGTGCTCGTTCACCGTGAACTCGATGACGAAGATGACAACATTGGCCAAGTGTACGATCCATGTAGCCCATTCAGTGGGCTTGGATGGGCTGTACAAGAGAATCCAGTACACAAGCGCGACGAGGAAGCACGACGTGATGGCCACGTCAAAGAGCGTGTTGAGGTACCCATTCGCCTGGTTCGTCGGCCGAGTCCACCGGCGCACTTGGTCAAAGACAGCCAAGCCAAAATAGATCGTCTGCAGCGAAAAGTTCCAGTACGTATAGTAGACGAGGTCAAACCAGTGTGACGAATCGATCTGGATGATCCACACGACGAGGAAAAAGCTCCACATTGCAATGCGAAAGGCCAAGAGCCACGCGTTCTTGGGATTGAATGGCACCTGGAGCAGACCGTGCGTCGGAGGTTGCTTGTAGATGCGGACGAGGCAGACCACGCCGATGATGGCAAGGCCAATACCAATCACAAGTTCTTTCCACAGGTTCGGCATGCTTCTGCGTCGCTGGGGTGGCGTTCCAGAGTGAGGATGTCTGTGTCGGTTGGAAGCGCTCGTGCAGTCAGCTCTCGTTCTTCTTCCAGCAACCTTTCCATCGTTTCTTGTGCCAATCCTTCGACAATTCGCACGAGTTTAATAACGCCAACACATCAAACGGTCCAACCAACTCGTCATGCACGAACGGCCCCCACGCACGCACTGCCCTTTCAGCGCAAGAGCCCAACGTCTATTCGTTTGAATGAGTTGTGGAGTCCGCTAGGTGTGGCGCAGTAGTGCGTCGATCGGGGTATTTTGTAACTTGTCGCTACGTTATCACGAAGAGGTCGATGATGGTGGGCGTGAATAGTCATTCTCCCCGGTTTCGTGGTATGTTTTGGAAGTATAGCTGTCGTTTGCGGATGGGGAAGCGATGTAGTTTGGTCCGCAGTTCAAGACTGGGGGATATCTAACGCCCCCGGCAATGCTAAGAGTCACGGCGACGGAAAGACGTGCTTCCGGCATGCTGCAGACGAGAGCAAAGTCGTGATGTCGATCCTGGCCCACGTCGCGATTCCGGAGAGTCGTTGGATCGTTGTGATCTTAAACTGTCGCAACAGATCGATAGGGGAATGTGCTTGCATATCTTCCATCTATTGTGATAAGTTCGCGAGAATCGTGTACAATCGCGGGCGACCGATGAAGCCGCCGTCCCCATGACGAAGACCTCATCATCTCTTCGACACAGTTAGACCACACCTCACGCAACAAACATGGCTGAGAACGGAGTTGACATGGCTTTTGTGAAAATGGTTCACTCGGCTGGGCCTGAAATGTTTCACGCATCGCGAAACACACCATCCTGGTACCGGGCGCTGATGGGAAGCGAAAGATACCCGACGCCCACCGAGCAATCCTTTTCCATGTTGTTATCGTATTTGTACGGTCACAGTGCCCCCATTGCGTGTCAAAGTGCATGGCGTAGGCCACCATTGCGAAACCACTTGCAAATATATCAGAGTTGTCGGTGCTGGAATCGCGTGG